GGAAAGCCTCACAATCATGGCTGAAGGCAAGGAGGGGCAAGTCATGTCTCACACGAATGGCAGCAGGCAAAGACACAATGAGGAAGGCACAAAAGCAGAAACCCCTGATAAAACAATCATATCTCATGAGACTTATTGACTATCATGAGATCAGTATGGGGGAAACTGCCCACATTATTCAATTATCTCCCACCAGGCCCCTCACACAATACATGGGAATTATGGGAGTACAATTCATGATTAGATTTGGGTGGGGACACAAAGTGAAACCATATCATTCCACTCCTGGCCCCTCTAAATCTCATGTCCTCACGTTTCAAAACTAACCATGCCTTCCCAACAGTCCCCTAAAGTCTTAACTCATTTCAGCATTAACCCAAAAGTCCACAGCCCAGTGTCTCATCTGAGACAAGCCAAGTCCCTTCAGCCTATAAGCCTTACAGTTTCATGTGGCTGGAGAGGCCTCACAATCATCAAAAGCAAGCTAGTTACTTCCTAGATACAATGGGGTACAGGTATTGGATAAATAGAGCCATCCCAAATAGGAAGCATTGGCCAAAACAAAGGGGCTACAGGCCCCATGCAAGTCTGAAATCCAATGTGGTGTTCAAATCTTAAAGCTCCAAAATGATCTCCTTTGACACCAAGTCTCACATCTCACCAAGTCTCAGTGTGACATCCAGGTCACACTGATACAAGAGGTGGGTTCCCATGGTCATGGGCAGCTCTGTCCCTGTGGCTTTGCAGGATACAGCCTACCTCCCAGCTGCTTTCACAGGCTGGTGTTATCTGCAGCTTTTCCAGGCTCAAACTGCAAGCTGTAGGTGGATCTACAATTCTGGGGTCTAGAGGATGGAGGCCCTCTTCTCAACTCCACTAGGCAGTGCCCCAGTAGGGACTCAGACCCCACGTTTCCCTTCTGCACTGCCCTAGCAGAGGATCTCCAAGGGGTCCTTGCCCCTGGAAAAACTTCCACCTTGGCATCCAGGTGTTTCCATACATCTTCTGAAATCTAGACAGAAGTTCCCAAACTTCAATTCTTGACTTCTGTGCATCCGCAGGCTCAGCATCATGTAGAAGCTACCAAGGCTTGAGGCTTGCACCATCTTAAACCATGGCATGAGCTCTACATTGGCCCCTTTCAGCCATGGCTGGAGCAGCTGGGACGCAGAGCACCAAGTCCCTAGACTGCACATAGCAGAGGGACCCTGGGCCCAACCCATGAAACCACGTTTTCCTCCTAGGTCTCTGGGCCTGTGATGAGAGGGGCTGCAGTGAAGACCTCTGACGTGTGCTAAAGACATTTTCCCCATTGTCTTGGCAATTAACATCTGGCTCCTCATTACTTACACAAATTTCTGCAGCCAGCTTGAATTTCTCCTCAGAAAATGGGATTTTCTTTTCTATCACATTGTCAGGCTGTAAATTTTCCAAACATTTATGCTCTGTTTCCCTTTTAAAACTGAATGCCTTTAACAGCACCCAAATCACCTCTTGAATGCTTTGCTGCTTATAAATTTCTTCCACCAGGGACCCTAAATCACATCTCTCAAGTTCAAAGTTCCACAAATCTCTAGGGCAGAGGGAAAATGCCACCAGTCTCTTTGCTAAAACATAACAAAAGTTACATTTGCTCCAGTTCCTAAAAAGTTCCTCATCTCCGTCTGAGACCACCTCAGCTTGGACCTTATTGTCCATATCACTATCAGCATTTTGGGCAAAGCCATTCAACAAGTCTCTAGGAACTTCCAAACTTTCCCACATTTTCCTGTCCTCTGAGCCCTACAAACTGTTCCAACCTCTGCCTGTTATCCAGTTCCAAAGTCACTTCCACATTTTTGGGAATTTTCTCAGCTGCACCCCACTCTACTGGTACCAATTTGCTGTATTAGTCTGCTTTTATGCTGCTGATAAAGACACACCCAAGACTGGGCAATTTACAAAAGAAAGAGGTTTAACTGGACTTCTAGTTCCATGTGGCTGGGGAAGCCTCACAATCATCATGGAAGGCAAGGAGGAGCAAGGGCCATCTTACATGGATGGCAGCAGGCAAAGACATAATGAGAAGGTACAAAAGCAGAAATCCCTGATAAAACCATCAGATCTCATGAGACTTATTCACTACCACCACAACAGGATGGGGAAACCGCCCCCATGATTTGATTGTCTCCCACTGTCCCTCCCCCAACACATATGATTCAAGATGAGATTCGGGTGGGCACACGGCCAAACCATATCAACCAATGAGTGAAAAAAGAAAACGTGGTATATATACACCATGAAATACTACTCAGCCATAAAAAAGAACAAAATAATGTATTTTGTAGCAACTTGGGAGAAGCTGGAGGCCACTATTTTAAGTGAATTAACTCAGAAATGAAAATCCTAATACTTTTTTCTAAAATATATGCTTTAAGTTCTGGGGTACATGTGCAGAATGTGCAGGTTTGTTACATAGGTATATACATGCCATGGTGGTTTGCTGCATCCATTACCCCATCATCTATATTAGGTATTTCTCCTAATGCTATCCCTCCCCTATCTCCCACCCACTGCTACCTCCCCTAACCCCTATTCCCCCGACAGGCCCCAGTGTGTGATGTTCCCCTCCTTATCTCCATGTGTTCTCATTGTTCAACACCCACTTATAAGTGAGATCATGTGGTGTTTGGAAAAACCTAATACTTTGTGTTCTTACTTCTAAGTGGGAGCTAAGCTGAGAGTACATGAAGGAGACTCACAAGGGGAGGGTGGGAGGTGGGTGAGGGGTAAAAAATGACATGTTGGCTACAATGTATAGACTCAGGTGGCAGATGCACTAAAATCTTAGACTTCACTACTATACAATTCATTCACGTAACCAAAAGCCACTTGTACCACAAAAGCTACTGAAATTAAAAAATAAATAAATAAAATAAAAGATTAAAAAGGGTGCACCTGTATAGGGTCCTTGCCATGACTGGAGCTCGCAAGGCTGGAGGCTACCCTGAGCAGGTCACTGAGCAAGAGGTGAGTGAATGTGAAGATCCAGGGCATGACCGTCACTGCTGCAGACTTTATAAACACTAGACACTTGGGCTACACCAAATTTATTTTTAAATATTTTTATTTGCTCAATAACAAACATTAGTTTACTGTAACTTTTTTACTTTATATACTTTTTAAAAACTTGATGCTAATGTCACGTAGCTCAAAACACAAATGCATTGTCCAGCTGTACAAAAATATTTTATTTCTTTATATTCTTACTCTACATGCTTTCTTCTATTTTGAACTTTTTCTTACTTTTTAAACTTTTTGTTAAAAACTAAGACATAAAAACACACTGTAGCCTAGGCCTGCATGGAGTCAGGGTCATCAACATCACCGTCTTCCCCCTCCATATCTTGTCCTACTGGAAAATCTTCAGGGGCAGTGACACGCACAGAGCCGTAATCTCCTGTGATAACAATGTCTTGGCTGGGCATGGTGGCTCACACCTGTAATCCCAGCAATTTGGGAGGCCAAAGCAGGTGGATCACTTGAGGTCAGGAGTTCAAGACAAACCTAGGCAACATGGTGAAAATCTGTCTCTACTAAAAATACAAAAATTAGCCAGGCATGGTGGTACATGTCTGTAGTCCCAGCTACTTGGGAGGTTGAGGCAGGAGAATGGCTTGAACCCTGGAGGCAGAGGTTGCAGTGAGCCGAGACTGCACCATTGTACTCCAGCTTGGGTGACAGAGTGAGACTCCATCTCAAACAAACAAAAACAAAAAATTAGCTGGGCATGGTGGCACTCGCCTATAAACCAGCTACTCAGGAGGCTGAGGCAAGAGAATCACTTGAACCTAGGGGTGGGGTGGTGGGGAGTGGAGGTTGCAGTGAGCCAAGATCATGCCACTGCACTCCAGCCTGGATGACACAGCAAGATGCTATCTTAAAAAAAAAAAAAAAAAAAAAAAAAAGTCTTCTGGACACCTCCTGCAGGAACTGCCTGAGGCTGCTTTACAGTTAACTTTTTTTATAAGTAGAAGAAATTTAGTCTAAAATCATGATAAAAAGTAGTAAGTCAAATAACAAACAAAAAGAATTTTTCAGCTCCATCATAACCTTACGCCACCAGCAATGTGATATGGCCAGGCGTTGATCAAGATGTCATCATGTGCAACACAACTGCTCATACAGATTCTCATCACTAATTTGAAATCATGATTGTCAATAAACCTGCCCTTAAGTTTTATTATTGCATTCAACAATAAACAATAAACATTGTTATATCATGAATTTCTAAATATGTCGATAATTACATGTCAATATAACTGGTTTCCTTCATAATCCTATATATTTCATTTTATGCATTTAAAAGTCTTCTTAAAAAGTGTCCAGAGGCGTTTATTGCCAAATTTTCAATGGTACAATGACAGTAACAAGGTTAAGAATTCTTATCCTAAAAGATTTGTAAATATTTTCCTGATAAAACTAAGGTGGTTTCTAACTTTCATAAAAGGCATTCTCAAAGTCTACCAAAGCATCTAAAATATGCATGATGTGAAATGAGAAGTAATTTACTTAATGATAGTATAACTAAGGAAAGGCTCTCCCAACTGTGACCCGAGAAGTAGGAAAAGTAGAGTCAGGTACCGCTGGTCCTGCGTTACAGGGGTGCTCGGCGCCTGGTGGGTGGCACCCAATGGAGATGGGAACACGCTTGGGAGAGAGAGCAGTCATCACACCATAAGGTAACTGTGGTTTAGGAGCTTCCAACCAATGCCTCCGTCAACATCACTGACGTTCAGGAGAGGCCTGGGATTACTCTCCTAAGCCACATGTAGCAGAGAGACCAACTAGTGCTTCACCATTCCAAAGGTAGAGCTACCTTTTCTGTGCATAAATCACTCTTAGATTAGTCAGTGTGCACAGAATAACCACAACCTCATCACATTCGGAAAAGAGAGCCAATTGCACTTACAGCTCTTGAGCTCCCCACCCCTGCAATGCAGGGCGCACAACAGCCTTACCTCAGGGTTCTCAGGTCCCACAGTCTCATCCCATCGCCAATGGCCGCGGTCAGGAAAAGGTTATAAGCCTGAGGCTGTTGGGTCGTAAATGATGAACCCTATAATTGCAAGGGGGAAATCAAGATGCATTTTCAAAGGTTGAGTTAATAAGCATTATGCTAATGATACCTCATAATTGCTGATTCTCAAGTAAGATATTAACACAATTTTTTCTTATTTATAACAATTTCAGAATTGGACTGCAAAAACTTGTACATAAAATAGTTAATAAGAGTATATTTTGACCTAGAGAATTACTGATGTATGTTCTCTTTATGTGTAATGCCACTGAGAGGTAAGAAGTACAAAATAGTCAAAGACCAAGACAGTAACATGCCAAAATTTATGTTTAGAATATAGACCATAAGCCACGTTCAGTAAATCATCTGAAACATGCCCCTCAACAAGGCACTTAAAGTGAAGGTGACTTATTAATCTACCAATTATCAACCCCTAAGACACACTGAGCAGGCTCCTGCGATGGTGAGGCAGGTGAGCTGCCTCCGGGCCTCAAGTCCCAGCCCTGTCTCTGACTTGCTCCCCTTTCCCTGTGCTGCTATCCAAACTAAGTGGAACTGACTCCATCTACAGAACCATTTGGCACAAAACATTACCTAAAAACATTGTGATACATAATGATTTCCATCCTCTTAGGTCAAGAATATTCAAAATATTAAGACAAATTTCATGAAGGATATCCAAACCATTTATGCTTAAGATGTGCCTAGACGTCATCCTTCATTTGCAAACAGAAAATAAAAGCTTACTAAGTTCAATAATAACAAATTAATAATAATTCAAGGCCGGGTGCAGTGGCTCACACCTGTAATCCCGGCACTTTGGGAAGCTGAGGTGGGCAGATCACCTGAAGTCAGGAGTTTGAGACCATCCTGGCCAACATGGTGAAACCCCATCTCTATAAAAATACAAAAAATTAGCCAGATGTAGTGGTGCATGCCTGTAATCCCGACTACTCGGGACGCTGAGGCAGGACAATTGCTTCAACCCGGGAGGCAAAGGTTGCCGTGAACCAAGATCACGCCACTGCACTCCAGCTTGGACAAAAGAGTGAGACTCTGTCTCAAAAAAAAAAAAAAAAAAAAGCTGTAATACATATTTTAAAATAATAATAATTGACACATAATTCAGCAGGCATTTAACAAATATTTACAGATCATCTACTGAATGCTGGTGTTATATGAGATACTCAGCATAAAAAAAAGAAAACGTAGACTTAGTCTAACGAAGACAGAGAAGACGGTGGCACTGACAACACCTTCCACAGTGGCTATCATACGGAGGCTAAAGAGTAAAAACCTGAACAGAACAGAAATAATATGCAATGGCCAAACCTTTCAAGAGTAAAGGTAAACTTTTAAAAAATGTGTTCAATCCAGTAGAGGGTGAGAAAGAAGAAATAAAGAACCAAAAAGAAAATTCATGACAAGTAGAAAGCAAAGAAATAAAATGCCTAAGAGAAAGCACAAATGATATTGAATATATGAATAATCATAATTTCAAACAGACTAAACTCAACAATATTAGGCTGGATTTCATTATTATCATTATTGTTATTGTTTCACTTTTATTTTAGGTTCAGGGATCCATGTGCAGGTTTGTTATATAGGTAAACTTGTGTCACCGGGGTTTGTTGTACAGATTATGTCACCACCCAGATACTAAGCCTGGTACCAATAACTATTTTTCCTGCTCCTTTCCCTGCTCCCATCCCCCAGCCTCAAGCAGACCTCAGTGTCTGTTGTTCCCTTCTTTGGTTCATAAGTTCTCATCATTTAGCTCAAAATAGCATAGTATTGATAATAAAGCCACATACCTACAACCATCTGATCTTCAACAGGGCTGACAGAAACAAGCAATGGGGAATGGACTCCCTGTTCAATAAATGGTGCTGGGATAACTGGCTAACCTTGTATAGAAGATTGAAATTGGACCCCTTCCCTACACCATACACAAAAATCAACTCAAGATGGATTAAAGACTTAAATGTAAAAACCAAAAACTATAAAAACCCTGGAAGACAACCTAGGCAATACCATCCTGGACATAGGAACTGGCAAAGATTTCATGACAAAGACATCAAAAGCAATCGCAACAAAAGCAAAAATTGACAAGTGGGATCTAATTAAACTTTAGGGCTTCTGCACAGCAAAAGAAAGTATAAACAGGGTAAATAGACAACCTACAGAATGGGAGAAAATATTTCCAAATTATGCATCTAACAAAGGTCTAATATTCAGCATCTATACGAAACTTAGGCTAGGTTTTAAGAAAAATGCTGAAAACTTAATTTTTAAAAAGTTGAAAGGTGGGGATCAAACAGCACACGTGAGCTACAAAGAGGTAAGATTATGTAAGCACTAGAGAAAAACAGGTACAAGGTAAAGAAACCCTCATGAGAAACAGTTTCTTCAAGAAAATGATAAAAGAAATAACTGCACATGAAAATATAAGACTGACTTAAATATGCCTGATAATGTGTCCTTCAAATAAATAAAGCAAAAGTCAACAGACTTACACAAAGAAACTGATAAGATTACAACCACAGTGACAGATTTTAACACAGCTCTCAGTAATTAAAAAAATCAAACAACAATAGAAAGCCTTGAACAATTTAAACACAATTAACACGTGTGAGTCAAAGAATATCTGTGCAAACATGTACCCAATCGTCAGCAATACCACACTTTTCTCACATACCTGTGTAATATTAAAAACAAATCATATGTCAAGTTTCTCAATAGATAGAAATCTCAAAGATACCAAGAAAATCAGTACTATATATGGAGAGTACATGCTCTGAACACAATGCCATATTAGAAACCAAAACAAAAAAGATGACCAAAAATTAACTCGTGGAAATCTAAAAGCATACATCTAAAGCTTGGGTTAGAAAACATCATAATAAACATGAGAAAATGTTTAGTGCTGGAAGATAATAAAAATAGTACATACCCAAACTGGTAAAGTACAAATTTCAGCATTAAAAATCAAGCAGCAGGGAGATGTGGGGTTTGATACCATGTGTAGGAGTGTAAAGCTATGCTCAACAATGCACAAATTTGCTGAAGCGGCATCCTTGCCTGGGATAAATATCCAGGGTTCATTGTCTAGCACCAAAACTAAAGACACAGACACAAAGGAGCAGCAAGTTTAGGAGTGGAGAGCTCATAAGCAAAATAAAAAGAAAGGAGAGCGGCGCTCTCTCTCTCTTTCAAGAGAGGGGCCTCCCAAAGGAAACAGCCAGCCTGAGGTGGACTGTGCGAGAATTTATAGGCAGGCTTGATGAGGCAGTGTCTGATAAACATAGATCCCCCAGATTGGTTCGATCAAGTGTGACATTTACATGATGGGCAGGGAAGGGCTCGTTGCACAGCCTTAATCCTTTTTTTTTTAGACAGTTTCGCTCTTGTTCAGGCTGGAGTGCAATGGTACAATCTCGGCTCACTGCAAACTTCTCCTCCTGGTTTCAAGCAATTCTCCTGCCTCGGCCTCCCAAGTAGCTGGATTACAGGGGCACACCACCACGTCCGACTAATTTTTATATTTTTAGTAGAAACGAGATTTCATCATGTTGGCAGGGCTAGTCTCGAACTCCTACAGACGTGAGCCACTGTGCCCTGCCGCCCCACCCCAATCTTATTATGCAAATGGACTTTCTACTTGGCCAGCCCCATCTTGTCTGCTCCACACAGTACACGTGGCTGGTAGAAGAGGGAAGATGGAGCAATAATTTTGAACGTGCCTATTCCGAGGTAGCCTTTTCCTACTGGCACAACTGCTGGCATTCACTGGTGTGAGCTTCTAGCTTGTTTGTCTACGTCTGCAGCTCGATTTTACAGCCTGCTCTTTGTTAGAAAAGAAAATGATTTGGGGGCTGCTTTTCGTTAAAAGGAAAACCTTGCCAAGGATTCCCATACCCTCACTATCAGTAATGTCTTCTTAACTCCTATATTATTGTTTTTGAATGGGTACTAGGGAAAGACCCACACCAAATTCAGTAGTGGTTATCAGAGAAGAAGAAAAAGGAGGGATGTGGGTAGGGTTTTCTTTGTATCAAAAATCATTTCTTTTTTAAAAATACAGCAAGATCTAAAACCAATAAAGCAAAATAACATAAGTGATTATTCCTGAAATCTAAAATCATGTGTAATCAAATTATGTCATTAAAAAAGCTGTTTAAACTTTTATACATTCTTGTTCATAGTTCAAATTAGCTGTCTAGTATTATATATTTACATCACAAAATAGTACATATTTTAGTCAGTCAGGCAAAAAGAGTAGTATCCTGTCAAGTTTTAGAAATATGTAAAGTATCTACACCTGCTATGATTTAAGGATATCAATAAATCATAAAACACTTATTTTCATTTTTTAAATGAGCCATTTACTAACATAACACATAAAACAGGAAAATATGGCCATCACCTTTTCATGTATTTGGCACTCTTGTTAATACTACACTAAAATGAAATAAAAATTCTGTTTGTCTAACAAAATTAAGATAACTATAGGAGTAATTCTCAGAAGAGATCATTTTAATGGTAGTGCACGAGGATGACTGCAAAAAAAAGTCATTATTGATGCATGACTAATGTGGCTGTGCTGGTTACTAAGCTTAGAAGAAATTAGAAATGCCCTATTTTATATTTTACTGGAAATACAGCATTTGGGCCAATTATAGTTTTTGCTTCTTCTGTATTTGGACTTGCAGGATGACAGTTTGTGAGTAGCAGCCCCCACATGGCTGTGGTTAGTTTGATATACATTGTGCAACTGAACAAAAATGTAAGAGAAAGTATTTTTTAAAAAGCTATTAAAACATAGTGTAAACCTCTGTAACCTTACACTCTTTCCTTTCATTCCATTGAATACCATTCAGATGTTTATTTTCAGGAAGTAAAACCCATAATTTTCCCATAAAAAGCCTCAGAACTATTTTTCTTAATATAACACCTCTCATCCAAGAGTACACCACAATGATTCACAAAATATTACAATCCTTACTGAAAGACCACAGAGATTTGAGGAAGATTCAAGC